ACATGTGCCAAGAGCCTGCACACCCTCCTCAAGGTCAGGACCAGGAGCCAGACACCCTTCTAGCAGCAGACAGGATGGCAGTCAGAAAGGGTCTCTAGTATGTGCCTTTGTACTCACTCAGGTCCTGCTTCCAGAAACTGTGACTGCACAGTGCCCAAACAGAGGGCATCATCAAAGCTGACCTCAAGAATCTTCCTTTGAAAATGTGCATGTCCGTACACACACTCCCACTCATGCTAACTGTGTGGAGTGCACGATTCCCCGCAGCTCAAGCATGTGATGCCACATACAGGCAAGAGCCCTTGTGCAACTGACTCTTATAAAGAAAAATGCTTGAGTGAATGGTGGAGTTATATGCTGATGCTCATTCAGAAAGTTCAGTGGTTATACAGCACTGGTGATGAAGAAACCCACCACTTCAGTGAGGAGCTCACACTGAGCGGAGGGCAGGGACTTGTAATGGCTTCTATCCTTGCACTACAGATGATGACAGAAATAGCCCCAGGGGCCTCAGAGGGGGCATCCTATACAGCCAGGTCCCCTGCTTATGGAACTTTTAGAAGGTGGAGTTAAGCCTTGAAAATATACAAGGCATCAGCCAGGTGAAAGAGATGGGCAGGAATATTCAGGGACATAAAAGAGCATGTTGTGTCAGGTGCTGTTAAAAATGTTCCATAAACAGGGGCATGTGGGGGAGCAGGCTGGCGAGGGCCCGCAAGGCGTAGGCCGCACCATCCATGAGAGGAGGGTGCAGGCAACAGGGTCTCTTCAGAGACTTGAGCAGCAGAGGTGAAGCTGTTGGGATGGAGGTCAGCTGCTCATTCCTGGGCCTCAGGTGAGAAGGAATTTGGAGAACAGGAGACCTGGGGGATGTCCTAATGTTAGTAACACATTGACTCTCAACCTCCTTTTTTTTTTTTTTAAATAAAAAATATCCACAGCCCATTAACAAACACACTAAGTTACTGTGTCTTGGGGAGTTTGGCAATAGGACTCTCAGGGTCTGCTAAGAGCACAGTCTGTTGCTGGGGACAATGAGAAATAGCTCCCAGTGGGAAAAGTCCTTCCAGTTCTAAGCTCTTATTATAAGACTGAAAATAACTAACTTATGAGAAGATGTGGTCTCGAGACTCTGAATTCTAAAATTTTTAATAATTTTGACTGCTAGCTAAAATCAGTCTAAATATTTCTCAAATAGCATGTCAGCTGGCATTGTCTTCAAAACAGACATATGTTCCTGAAAAATAAAAGGAAAAAATAATCCAGAAAGAAAAAAATCCCAGTGACTGTACAAACAAATCTCTGCAAATACTAATTTTAAACTTTAAAGACCCACCAGTCCGAGATAGTTTTAATTTGAAAAGTCTGGGCGCCCCCTGATGGTTAGTCAGGCATCCTACAGTAGATGTTATTTTTAGCTGCCTGGGGTCAATTTGTTAATTTCTTCCCTTTAAATAATCAAGCGATTGTTCTTACATGCTCTGTGCAGAAAAAACAAAGTATGTGGGCTTATGATGAGCAAGATGGAATATTTAGGAAGCTGCTAATTCAGTAGAATTTAAGCAGAATGCAGATTTGCTAAGCCAGAGATGGAGATGGATGCTTTTTTTAAAAATGAGAACCTAAAGGACTTCCAGGAAAAGCTCACTTTTATTTCACTGGACTCATTTGTTCCTCGTGATCTTTGTATCATCCCGAGAGGAATGACACAGTAATGAGGCAATAAGAGACGATGCCACAGCCCCCACCAGAGTTGCAGGCTGGCGCCCTCCGCTGGCCACTCCTGTGGCTACATGGCCGGCTCGGAATGCCACCCACAGCGGCCCTGCCAGGGTGCAGTGGCTGGGTGACTTCTGCTACCTTTCCCCCGGGCAATTACGTTGCAAGCACACACCCTTTTTTGGTAAAAACGTTATCTTGATCGAACCAGTAAGCTGAAGTTACAAGGCAGGAACCAGTAAACTGAAGTTACAAGGCAGGCTGTTAAAATACACTCTCCATTGAATAAATGGATCCGGGAGAGTGAAAAACGCTTCCTGGGGAAGGTAAAGCGAGACAATGTTTGCAGAGGAGAGGAAGCTCTGGCATGCACCCCTGAACAAAAGGGAACAAGTGGTCTTTACTCAGAGAACTGCTTCCTATTAGGACTCACTCCTTCGTACATTATGCCTTTCATCCCCACTCAACCACAAAATGATTTTGCTGAAGCAAATACAATGGTAGAAAAAGATTTACTCTCAAAGAATCTTTAATAATAAACTGTTGCCGATCTGCCTACTTGCCCGTGATTTATAATTCAATAAACATCGGATTCTATTACGGCTCATGCACTGAAGCCGCAGCTCTGAAAAACGGAATATGAAAGCACCCGGACCCCACCACCATCACAATGAAATGAGCATGTATAAATGTGCTAAGAGTATCTCTTTGCATCTTTTATAGCTTGTGTGTATTAATCTGTAACGCTTATTAAGAAAGTCATTGCTATGCAAAGCAGCACCCAATCCCTTTCTCCGGCTTTTCAACAGAGTGCACTGTTTAGCCAATAGGACGGACCCTCTGGCCCTCATTCTGCATTCATCACAGGCAACATTTGCACAATGTATCTCTCAAAGGCGGCTGAAAAGAAGGCCTTAATACTCATGTAAACAACTGCAAACCAATTACTTAATGAATCAGGCCCACACATAATGAGGTGCAGACAAAGAGCTATAAATGCATTTTTGCGCCCAAGCCGCTGCTTTAAAGTAAAATCCCTCAGCTGTAGTTTGGGCTTTAACTAGCACATCATAATTATTGTCTCTAGGACATCAGAGGAAGCCATTTTTTTTTTTTTTTTTTTTAGGTCCAGCGGGGTCTTTTTTTTTGAGGTTGCTCATCAGCTCACTGACAAAATAGAGCAAAGAAGAATTTTTAAAAGTGCTACAGCAGCACTGCACTGTTATGTTTATTCTCAAGTACTGGGTTTCGAGACCACTTGTAAAAGCAATAAAGCACAAGGAGTGACTGCAGTAAGTGGGATCCTTAAATGTAAGCCTCTAAGAAATTTCAGCGAATCCAGGCACAAACAGCGAAACCAGAGATCTCCAAAGCCCAGGGTGGCGTATTAACACCACCACACCCAGCACAAAAAACACACCGTGACAGACAGCTTGCTAAACCCACGCACTCGACACCCCGACCTTTTCAAGGCTGATTATCAAGTGTCTAGGACCAAGGGTTCCTTGAAGACTTACTTGTGTGTGTTTTT